AAGCCTAAGTATTTTAAGAAATTCATATTCATTGTTATCTGTATGTAACAATAGATGTAGATTACAAGTAGGAGAAAAGGTTAAGACTGATAATTAAAGGTTAGATTGTGTAGCACTTAGTTAGATTAAATTAATTAGTGTATGAATTAACACAGCTCATTACTTAATATGAGTACGAATCGATCGTTTTTCTCATTTTGGTCCAAAGAAAATATGTTTTATTATCAGATTAATACACCAACAATTACAAACCAAATTTACAACAGGAAAAAAAACACACAAAAAGTGGTTAAGAAAAAATGCACGAAGCTTCCAAAATTTCGAAATTCAAAAATCCTCTTGCTCTCTCACCATGACACGACACGACACGATCATCATACACACATACAGTCGTTTACATTGGCATGATTGACAAGAAGTTATTATGTAGGCTCATTGTCATGGAAACAAACCATACTCAATTGTACCCATATTTCTCACAGCTGCGAATGCTTATAAGTCATTATGAATCATCAGTTCTTCATCAGTTGTATTCTTTCGAATTCTGCGAACTCAGAATCGACTGGAAAATAAACATAATTCGGTAAAATGATTAGAGATTCTGAGCTTGATATGTAACACTTAATCAACATGGAGTTATGTGATTAAAATATACCTTGACTTTAGGATAAGGGAAGTTAGTTTTAGAACCACCTCTGCTTCCGAAACTGAATTTCAATTTCTTATCATTAGGTTTTAAGATTTGGAAAGAGCAAGTCAAATCTTCGTCCACACTCATCATCGCACCGGCATTGTCGAATTCCCCGCAGTAATTCGGCGCAGAGAATATCGTCACTAACTGCTTATTCGCAAAGAACTCAAACCCATCTTCAACAACCTGAGACCAAAACCATTGCTTGCGTCAAAAGGAAACAAACACCGAAAAGGTTGCTTTCGGTCCAAGGAACAACAAACACAAACCTGGTGAGCCCTACAAATTAGGTCAAGATCGAGTCTTTTGAGAAACACAGAGACAGTATCCGATCCAAAAGTGTAAGAAACTCCGCGATCGTTAGGTCCCCAACCTTTAATCACTTTATCAGGATCAGACCACAAGAGATCACAGAGTAAACCGCGGTCAGGAATATCCGTGGGACGACGAATATCCCTAATCTGTCTCAAGCTAAGCAGCTCCGGGGAGATCCCACCGTGCATACAGATAATCCGGTCATCGATGAGTGCAGCCACGGGGAGACAATTGAAGCAATCGGTGAAGATTCGCCAGATCTTGACACTGAAACGGCGTTTACACTCATCATAGAAGCCATAGATACGGTTGATTGATGCACATTCATGGTTTCCTCTCAGAAGGAAGAAGTTCTCAGGGTACTTGATCTTATAAGCGAGCAAGAGACAAATCGTTTCGATACTTTGCTTTCCGCGATCGACGTAATCTCCAAGAAACAAGTAGTTTGAGCGAGGAGGGTAACCTCCGTATTCGAATAGTCTCAAAAGATCCGAGTATTGTCCATGAATGTCCCCTGTTTAACAAGAAGATTCCATAAGAACACAATCTC